GGCTTCCACGCAGTTGTACCAGAGCGGTCCTAGCCCTATTGCCCAAGAAAGGTGACCTGACAGTACTAAAGAACTGGAGGCCAGTCTCTCTGCTCTGCGCAGATTATAAGATATTGGCCAAGGTCTTCTCCAATAGACTGAAGGAATGCCTGGACACAATCATCTCACCCACACAAACTTACTGTATCCCTGTATCATAGACAACCTCTTTCTCATCCGGGACATTATTGACAGCGCCAAGGACTTGGACATTGGTCTCCTGTCGATTGACCAGGAGAAGGCCTTTGATCGGATAGACCATGGCTACTTGTTCAGAACCATGATTGCTTTTGGGTTCCCCCGGACTTTTATAAGATGGGTAGAGACATTGTATGCGGGGGCCACAGTGTTGCTAAAGGTGGGGGGAGGACTTAGTCGGCCAGTGCAGGTGCAGAGGGGCATCAGGCAGGGCTGCCCTCTGTCAGGCATGCTCTATGTCCTGGCCATAGAACCTCTGCTTCGGAGGCTCAGGAGAGGACTGAGGGGCCTCAGGCTGGAGCAGACCTCACAGCCCCTCTGTTTGTCAGCCTATGCAGACGATGTGACTGTGGTCGTCTCGGGACAGGAAGATGTGGGGACAGTTCAGCAGATCCTGTCCCTCTACGAGTGTGCCTCATCTGCAAAAGTCAACTGGCCAAAATCTGAGGGCTTCCTCCTGGGACGGTGGGAGCGGGAGGCGAGGCCCGTCCTTCCAGGGGGGCTGCGGTGGAGCACGGAGGGGTTTAAATGCCTGGGGGTGTATTTGGGGAGCCAGCTGTATCAGGCTAAGAACTGGGATGGTCTTGGGGAAAAGGTGAGTGCCCGATTGTCTCGATGGGCATGGGTCCAGCCCCAGTTGTCTTATAGGGGGAGGACTCTGGTGGCTAATACTCTGGCTGCCTCCTGTCTGTGGCACCGTTTTACTATCCTGCAGCCTCCGGACTCTGTGGTGGCAGACATTCAGAGGAGGCTGGTGGACTTCTTCTGGGGCGGCCATCACTGGCTGAGGGCTGCGGTGCTGTACCTGCCTGTGGAGGAGGGAGGACAGGGGCTGGTGGATCTCCCTGGTCGACTGGCGGCCCTTCGCCTGAGGACAGTGCAGCGGCTCCTGTATGGACCACAACAGCTGTGGACAGAGACGGCAGCTGTCCTGTTGCCCGTATAGGAGGCCTTGGCTATGATAAACACCTGTTCCTGCTAGACCTCAAGGCGGTGGACCTGTCGGGGACTTCCGCTTTCTACCGCTCTGTTCTGAGGGCCTGGAGCTCTATGGTGGAATGCTCCAGAGAGGAACCATATGGCCGTGCAGGGCAGGAGCCACTGTTTTTTAACCCTATGGTGAGGAGCAGCCTGTTGGACTCCACTCAGCTGAGGCAGGCCTTCGTGGCAGCAGGACTCACAAAACTAGCAGACTTGAGAACTGAGCGAGGCTGGAAAAGTGCAGCCCAGCTGAGCAAGGAGACTGGGGTGAGGTCTGAGCGGGTGCTGCAGAGGCTGCTGTCGGACGTGCAGGGTGGGCTCCCTGTGCATTTCAGGGAGGCACTGGGACTTTATGGACTTGTTCCATCTGTCCAGCCAGTGGCCTTCCCCTCACTGCGTGTACGAGCTGCTGGAGGGTCACAGGACCACAGTGGAGGAATTTTGTCTTTTGACACCCCTGTCTTCTCAGAGATGGCAGCAACGAAGAAGAAGGACTTTTACATTCTGTCCACCAAAGTCCTCCACAGAGCCGAGCTGTCCGGTGTCCCAGAGTCCAGGTGGTCGGGGGTGTTGGCCCCAGGTTCTTCTCCACGAGGCTGCTGGAGGTCCCTGTACTGCCCCCCCATAGAGAAACGCTGCGCGGATCTCCAGTGGAGGGTGGTGCACGGGGCCGTGGCCACGAACAGACATGTGGCCCACCTTGACCCAAGATCAGACAAACACTGTGCCTTCTGCCAACAAGAAGAGACACTGGAACATCTGTGGCTGTCTTGTGCCCGGTTGGCTCCCCTCTTTACTCTCTTGGGCCAATGGCTTCACACTCTGGGCCAAACACTCACCCGGGAGCTCTTTGTGTTTGGCCCCAAGTTCTCTGTGGCCCAGCGCAGGACTGCACCACTGGTGAACCTTTGTCCTGGGTCAGGCAAAGATGAGCGTGTGGCTCAGCAGGAGGAACCACATGTCCGGCTCAGGATGTACAGATTCCCTCCTCCTGTTGAAGAGGCTGGTGGGGGCACGACTCAAGGTGGAGTTGTGTGTACAGTGCAGGCAGAGTTGTGTACAGGCACTGGGGGCAGGTGGAGTTTGTGTACAGTGCACTGGGGGGCAGGTGGAGTTTGTGTACAGTGCACTGGGGGCAGTGGAGTGGGGCAGGTGGAGTTTGTGTACAGTGCACTGGGGGGCAGGTGGAGTGTGTGCACTGGGGGGCAGGTGGAGTTTTGTGTACAGTGCACTGGGGGGGCAGGTGGAGTTTGTGTACAGTGCACTGGTGGGGCAGGTGGAGTTTGTGTACAGTGCACTGGTGGGGCAGGTGGAGTTTGTGTACAGTGCACTGGGGGGGCAGGTGGAGTTTGTGTACAGTGCACTGGGGGGGCAGGTGGAGTTTGTGTACAGTGCACTGGGGGGGCAGGTGGAGGACTTTGAGGCAGTGTGGGCGGTGAAGAGGTGTTTGTGTTCAGTGGGGGAGGGGCAGTTGATTTTACATCTGTAGGGGGATTACGACATTGTTTTATTTTTTTATGTCTTTGGTGCTTTGTAGGATTTAAGTCATAAGTGATATAATAAATGTATTGTTAAAAGTCAAAAGTCTCTTTTCTTCTTCTTCTCCTCTTCTCTTCTTCTCTTCTTCTTCTCTTCTCTTTTCTTCTCTTCTTCTTTCTTCTTCTCTTCTTCTCTTCTCTTCTTCTCTTCTCTTCTCTCTCTTCTCTCTTCTCTCTCTTCTCTCTCTCTTCTCTCTTCTCTTCTCTCTCTCTTCTCTCTCTTCTTCTCTCTTCTTCTCTTCTTCTTCTTCTCTCTTCTCTTCTTCTCTTCTTCTCTCTTCTCTCTTCTCTTCTTCTCTTCTCTTCTTCTCTTCTTCTCCTCTTCTCTTCTCTTCTCTTCTCTCTCTCTCTTCTTCTCTCTTCTCCTCTCTCTCCTCTTCTTCTTCTTCTCTTCTTCTCCTCTTCTTCTTCTTCTCTCTCTTCTCTCTCTTCTCTCTCTCTTCTCTCTTTCTTCTCTCTCTTCTCTTCTCTTCTCTCTTCTTCTTCTCTCCTCTTCTCTTCTCTTCTTCTCCTCTTCTCTTCTCTTCTCTCTCTTCTCTCTTCTCTTCTCTTCTTCTCTCTTCTTCTCTTCTTCTCTTCTCTTCTCTTCTCTTCTTCTCTTCTTCTCTTCTCTTCTTCTCCTCTTCTCTCTTCTCCTCTTCTCTCTTCTCTTCTCTTCTTCTCTTCTCTCTTCTTCTCTCTTCTCTCTCTTCTCTTCTTCTTCTCTCTTCTTCTCTTCTCTTCTTCTCTTCTTCTCCTCTTCTCTCTCTTCTCCTCTTCTCTTCTCTCTTCTCTTCTTCTCTCTTCTCTCTCTCTCTCTCTCTCTCTCTTCTCCTCTTCTCCTCTTCTCCCTCTTCTCCTCTTCTCTCTCTCTCTTCTTCTTTCTCTTCTCTCTTCTCCTTCTTCTCTTCTTCTCTTCTTTCTCTTCTCTCTTCTCTTCTTCTCCTCTTCTTCTCTCTTTCTCTTTCTCTTCTCTTCTCTCTCTCTCTTCTTCTCTCTTTTCTTCTCCTATCTCCTCTCCTCTCTCCTCTTCTTCTCTCTCTCTCTCTCTCTTCTTCTCCTCTTCTCCTCTTCTCTCTCTTCTTCTCTTCTTCTCCTCTTCTCTCTTCTCTCTTCTTCTTCTCCTCTTCTCTCTCTTCTCTTCTTCTCCTCTTCTCCTCTTCTCTTCTTCTACTCTACCAAACACCTGCAGAGTGAGAAAAGTCCAGAAGCTGCTCCATGGAAAAACAAGGCCCAGACAATAAACGTCTCCGTCGTGTCAGTGATCAGATCCCAGCAGGAATCAAAGGAGGAAACACACACAGATGTTAAGACACAAAAGCTCCTGACCATGTGGAGGGTTCATCCCAAATCCAACACCCTGAGACTGTGAGCCGGGAGGAAGGAGCCGAGGACTAGTGAGTGTGGAACCACTGTCCAGGATGAAACATCCAAGCTCCATGAGAACATCAAGGACAAGGCCCCGACAGATGAGGAGCTCAGAGAAGGTCTCGGACAGCGGGGTTAGGGTTAGATCCTGTGGGACTTCAGATACAGACTGACAAGATGGAGATGGACCAACCAGACAGAGTGGAGCTGGAGAAGAACAGAGCAGAACCACAACACCAAGAGAAGGAACATCAGGAAAAAGGAACACGAGAAACTAGAGAAATATCAGGGGCTCAAGGAAAAGCTGGAGAAGATCTGGAAGGTGAAAACACCAGTGGAGCTCGTGGAAATCGGACACTCGGGGCTGTGACCCTCAAACTGGACAAACAACAAACATCTCAGTCCAGAACAGAACAGGAACAACAACGACACTGAAGAACTGTCAAACTCCAGACGTCTGGTAGAAGAACCGAGCTGATGAGGGAGAACAACCACCGCAAAAGGTGAGGAACACATTTATTTATATTAATATATTAATATTTATATTTATATATTTATATTTCTGTGGTGTGTGGTGTTGTGTGAGGGGACAGTGACACCTGCTGGACAATGAGTCACATTACATATAAATCACAGCAGTTTTATTTATTTATTTATTTTATTTTTTTTACTCTCAAAAAAAAAAAAAAAAAAAAAAAAAAAGAGAGAAGAGAGAAGGAGAGAAGGAGAGCTCTGGTTTGATTCTGACTTGGTCCTGGTTCAGACCCACTTGAGTCCTGGTCGGGTCCTGGTCGGGTCCTGGCTCTGATTCTGAGGTGTGACGTAAATCGCTGACGTCATAGAACCGTGCGCGTGCGCCGTGCGCGTGCAGTGTGTGCGTTTGTTTGTGCACAGGAAGAGGCTGCAGCTGGGCGGGGTCTGCTCAGTCCAGGACCAGACCAGGACCAGACCGGGACTCAGCGGGACTCAGAGCGCCTCTGCCCGGTCACGTCTCTGCACAGCCCCCGGTGAAACGGCTCCAGCTCTGGAACCGGCTCCGGGACCAGCCCCGGCTCCGGCTCCAGCCCCGGCTCCAACCCCGGCTCCAGCCCCGGCTCCAACCCCGGCTCCAACCCCGGCTCCAACCCCGGCTCCGGCTCCGGCTCCAGCCCGGCTCCAGGCGGCATGGGCCGGCTGTGTGGCCGAGCGTAGCGCGCTGGTTCGGGCTTGGAGCTGCAGGATGAGCGTCGCGCTGCAGGAGCTCCGGAACACCGTGAGTACACGCACGCGCACTGATATCACAAAACACACGTGCACGCGCAGGGTGACATACACGGGGGCGCGCAGCATCCACCCGCGTGCACAGCTCCGGCTCTGATCAAGGATCGATACCAATAATCGATACCAGCGGTCTCCAGAACCAGAACCAGAGACGGTTCTGTTGGTCCAACTGTTGCTCCTTCAAGACTCTGCCGTGACGATCTCAGGACTGAGGTGGGACCAGAACCAGGACCAGGACCAGCACCAGGACCAGCACCAGGACCACGA